ATCCCAGTCACTGAATCAATCCACCTCATAGAGGGCCTTCCTCTCCTGCGCGGTCCCTCCACCCTCCCAAGCATGATGTCCCTCTCCAAGAACTGGTCTCTCCTCACAACATGTCCAAAGTATGTTAGACGGAGCCTCAGAATCCTTGCCTCCAAGGAGCCACCCGGTTTAACCCTTTCCAGGACAAATCTGTTTGTTAGATGCTATTCATCGGAGAGGGATGAGAGGAAGACCCTCAATGAGATAGATTAACAAAGTGACTGCTACAATGGACTCAAGTGCATCAGAGATGATGATGAGAATGGCACAGGATAGGACAGAGTTCAGATCTGTTGCTGTAAGTCATATTCAACTTGATGGCACCAAGAGTACTTGATGACAACAAGAGTACTTAAACCTTGCTGGGAAAAAAAGACCTCGAAATTGTGATCTGTGAGTTTAGTACTTTGGTGTTAGAATTGCTGAGAGTCTGTCTAGTTCCTAATATTAGGAAAATAGTCTTTCATACCATTAAGTTTGATATCTGTTGTATATGCTCTTAGGTACCCCCCCCTTTTTTTTTAAATTTAGGGCATTCTCTTCAATTCTTAGTTTATTTAATGTTGCTTTTTATTTTTCAGGAATGATGTTAGATTTTGGTAAATAACTCGCCCCGCCCCCGCAACTATTAAGATCACTATGTAGATTTTGTCCTTTATTCTGTTGAGGTAGTATGTTACAGTAATTTCTTTCTAGATATTCAACATTCTTGCATTTTTCTGAAGTAAGGTGTGTGTAATTTTGCGTCTAAAATTGTGTACAACCAATTGACCATACTATATAATTTCATGGGAATTTTTGTAGTCCATCCTGAACTGCTCCCTTCCCACTCCCGCAAACAGTACAGTAGGTGTAGGAGCAGCAGAGTTCTAGATGTATTGACTGTGCGGACCTGAGTACGGTAGAGATGGTGAGGCTGATGCAGGATAGGGCAAGGTTCCAGTCTGGGGTTCACAGAATCACCATGAATCTAAGTCACCTCAGTGGCACCTGACAGCAACTTAACAAAGAGCAGGCTCCCGATCAACAGCAAAAAGCTTATCCCAGTTAGACTACACATGGAGGCCCATGTTCCACACCTTCTGACAATTCTTAACACTAACCATCCGTTCCAGGGCTCTCACTATTTCTCTGCTGAGTTCAATAATCTGTTGCAGTGCCCTCAGAACTCACAGACAATTATTGTGATTTTAGCATTTTCTAGAGAAGTTGTTGTTGGGTGCTGTCCAAGTGCAGTATGACTCATAGTGACCCTAAGAACAAATCTGAATTCTGTCCTGTCCTGTGTCATCCTCATCATCTCTGGCATACTTGAACCCATTGCTCTAGTCAATGTGCTTGTTACTAGAAAAATGTGCTTGTTACTAAAAAAAAGGTTGCAATTCAAATTCATGAGCATTCAGGATACCATTTTTTTTTTTTTTAATTAAGATAACCTCCTGTCAGGTAGGATAGATTCAAGGTCAAATTTTGGTTCTTATGGATTTGGTTTAATTTTGTTTAACTTCAACTTGAACTTGCATATGTGTTGGTAGTGGTCTGTTCCACAGCCAGTTCCTGGCCTAGTTTTGATAGGGTTATTAAGCTGCTCCAGCGATTCTTTTCACAGGTATATTCAGTCTGATTCCTGTGTATACCATCAGGTGAGGTTCATGAGTATAGTCATCATTTATGTTTCCTATAAAAGGTATTTACCATGAATATATCAAAAATTGTACAAAATTCCGTCATTCTGTCTTCAGCCTTATTTCTGTCACCAAGTCCATGTTTTCAAAATACTGATGTTTCTTCCCTGTTCCCAGCTTTTGCATTCCAGTCACTTACTATAATGCACCTTGGTTGTGTGATCTGTCAATTTCTGGCTGCAAAAATTGGTAGAAATCATCTATTTCTACCTCTTTGGCTCTGGTTGTTGGTGCATATATTTGAATGATAATGGTATTAACAGATCTCCCTTATATGCATATCCTGCTGCTCAAAATACTGTATTTCAAGATGGATTTAGAAATGGTCTTTTTCTTTCTTTCTTAAAAATAAGTTTTTATTTTATATTTGCTTATAGAGTTTGTATACATGATGTTTCACACTATCCTTCATTCACATTGTGTCTTATACAATCGTGGAAATGGTCTTTTTAACTATGAATGTGACCTGAATTTTCCTCACCTTTTCATTTCTGATGTAGCAGATCATATACTCAAGAAAGGAAGACCTTTGATGACACGGACTGACTCAGTGACTAGCTTAATGAGGGTAGTTGTGTCAGAGACAATAAGATTGGCACAGGACAGAGCAGGGTTTAGGGCTGTTGTACTTAGGGTCATTAAGAGTCACAGGCGACTCAGTGGCACATCACAACAACAAGGTCATATGATTGTCTGACTTTTAATGTCCCATGCCAGCTCATCTCATTTCACTAATGCCTAATATGTCAGTATTTATGTGTTCCATTTCTTCCTTAACATTGTCCAATTTTCCTACATTCCTGCTTCTCACATTCCACATTCAAATAGCTAGTGTCTGTTTACAACTGTTTCTCCTCCTTTGTGATTCCCAGTACAGAGACTCAGCCTCTTAGTTAAATTGAAATAGTCTCTGCTGTACATAGGATTTTTGAAGGCCTGCTATTTCAAAAGTGGATGGCCAGTCCTTTTCCTTAGAGCAATATCTGACAGATATGCATTTTACCCAAAAGAGCAGATGAAAGACCTTTCCCATTACATAGCTCTCTAATCATTGATCCCACAGCCTTGGCCTCTGTCCTGCTTGGCAAATCACAGAGTTCTCTTTGCTCTGCAGGTTTTGTACCACTGTCACTCTGCCAAAAGCCTAGACCTTTCCCACCCAATTGTATTTATTCTTTGTCCGAAGATGCTGTTATAGTTGCGTGCATTTGCAGATCTATAAGTGCCCAAAGGCACCCATTTCACCAGGAAGTACTCAACTTTCTTGCACTGTGGACCAGGAACCCACATCTTTGTCTCACCCCAGTCTCTGGTCATTTTTATTTATTGCTGAATTTGTTTTGCTAGCTTTTGTTGTATTTTCATATTTGAGTGTTTTAAACTTAGTGCTGAGCCTTTGCCTAAAAGAACTAACTACATTCATAAAACAAAGCCAGTCCCTCCATCTAAAATATCTCAGGTATAAAATTTTTTTCAGGTGTTTATGTGTGAATTTCTCTTTTGTCCCAACACTTACTGCCAAGGTTCATAGCCCCGTCCACCTTGCCTGTTCTGCTGCATTCACTTTACACCTACATTTACTGATACCCTTCCCTCTTCAGGTAAGCAGCCCCGTTCCCCATATTATCTTTCTATACCCACACAGGAGCCCAAGTCACTTCAAGTGTAATGTTTATAAAGGTATTTCATTTTCTCTTCTTTCTTTCCCCTCTCATTCCTGTTAATAGACTGCTTTGTTCTGTTTATATACTTTTCCTCAGCTTTTGTATATCAATGGACTCATAAAATGTCCTTTTGTGCCTAGCTTATCTACCTCAGTTTAATGTCATACAAACATTCACATGAGGTGTTTTCCCATTTCCTTTTCTTGCATAGTATAATGTTCTATTTTCTGTATAAACTATAGTTTGTTTATCAGTTAATCTCTGGTTAGATACATAAATTGTTTCCATTCCTTTGCTCTTGTAAATGAACATGAATGTGCCAGATCTTTTTGTCCCAGCTTCTATTAAGAAATATAATGGTCAAACAACTATTTGCTGTTGAGTTAACACTAACTCATAGTTGATCCTCCGGTAGCTTTTGAGAGGGTCTATATAATATTGGAGAAGACTGCCCATCTTTCCCCTGAAGAGTTGCTGGTAGATTCAAACTGCCAGAGAAGTATAATCTTTGGATTTGCAATGAAACTCCCTACAGACTTTGCCCACAGATCTCCCTCACTCACGCTTAGGATATAAATTTTTAAGTAGTCCAATTCAATTTACAAGTTCCAACTTTCCTTGAATCCTACTTTGTACCTTTCTCTTATTAATTATTAATGTTGTTGGCAGTTGCTTTTTCTCATTGAGGATTGTGATACATCAGCATATGAAGATCAATAAAGATCCTAAAATCTTAGTCATTCTATGTCATTAAATTCTACTTTGAGTGGGCAACCCTTCTCTAAGTACTATTTTGAGTTCCTTTCTATGCCAGAGGTTCTTCTTGTGGCTCTTTACTAGACAATATTCTGGTGCTATTCAAGGCTTTTACAGACTAGATAGAGAGCAAACCTTGCTTCCCAGTCTATCTTAATCTTGATATTTCATTAAAACGTGACCATCATGAGTGATACTGCTGGCATTTGAAATACTAGTGGCAGAATTTTCATCATCACAAAAGAAGCACGTATCACAGAACAAAAACTGACAGAAGATTGGTGGTTGTACTATATGTAAAATGAACAAATAAAAAAAAATAAATTCTACTTTCATTAAAAAAAAAAGAAAAGAAATATAATGGGTTCGTGCTCTCATTGTGTTGAGTCAGAACTCACACTTGTTGCCAACCCTCCAGCAGATTTTCAGTTGCATAGAAAGAGATTGGTAAATTTGAACTGCTTATCTTGGGGTGGCATCTTAAAACCTCTCATAATAGATCTTTTTTCTACCCAACATTAAAAAAAACACACCCTCAAAAACAAAACTTTATCCCTTACACTATAATAAAACCAAGAATTGGAAAGGGAATTTTTTTTAGGAAACTGAGAATGATGTGTTTCAAAAGTTAAAATTTATCTCAAAGTTTGTATGGTATATTATTTATTTGTATTTAATCCTTCCTTAAAATAACTCCCATTTGACAGTGTTCAAATTTAATTAGTGGCATACTTCCTAATATGTTCTAACTTTAAACTTCAATCATTGTTCCTAGATTGAATTTATTAGAAAACAAAACATAAAAGATGCTAGATATTTCCTTTTAATTCTATCATTTACTTTTTTGTCTTTTTAGAAATTGTATTTCACCTCCTTAAGCTGGTTAATAGTGGCATGGAAGATCCATTTGGTGAGTATCACCTGTGCTTTTCCTAGTAAATAACTTATGTTTTTCCCCCCACTTAAACCTTTCAGATTAAAGACATTTTGTTCAATTTTAGTATGCCGTTCTATATAATAACAACTTCTGGTACTTTTTGTCTCAGGATCCCTTTTACTCCTGAAAATCATTGAAGGTGCCAAGTAATTTTTGTGTGCATGATTTGTATATATTAACATTGACTGTAATGTAAACTAAGGAGCCCTGGTGGTATGGTGGATTAACATGTTAGACCGTTAACCAGAAGGTAGCGATTTGAATCAACTAGCTGATAAGTGGAAGAAAGATGGTTGGTCTCCTCCAATTACAATTTAAAGCCTTTGAAACCCAGGGGAGCATTACTGTGAGCCAGATTAAACACTACAGCAGTAGGTTTGATTGTTTTGGGGAGTTTGGGGTTTTGCATGAAGAATTAAAATAGTAAAATACTAATTCTTTTAAAAATACCATTTATCCATTATTTCTTGCATAAGAATTTTTTTTTAAATGAAAAATAAATCTTGAAACAATAAAAGTGAGGGAAGTGGCTTGTCTTATGCCTTCACAGATCTCTTTAATATCTAATTTGATAGATTATGACTGTATTTACATATTGGAGTCTACATTCAGTCTTTTGTGGTAGCACATCCCATGTTGCCTTTGGAGTGTCAGCTGTACAGTTTTGAGATAATGAGAATGAAAAAACCAAAAATCTTGGTATTTTTCTAAAAAATGGTTCTAAGCTTACAGACCTGAAAGAAGCAAAGAGATCCCTCCTTGGGACCCCAGACCATACTTTGAGAACTATTGCTTTTGTTCTCTTTGAATTTTGTTATTTCTCATAGAACCAAGACCTACTAGGTGAGTTAAAAGAGAAACTTTGACATCCCTGTATTGATCATTCGGTAATTTGAATATGCTTCTCTTTTGCAGTGAACTTCTGCCAGTATTTCACAATTGTGCCATTGTATTAGTACTTGGCTGATGAAAGTACTTAGCTAATGAAAGACATTGTGCCTTGTAATCCTAATAGAAGTGATATAAAATATTTCCAGTTTGTTTTATTTATCTGATTGTCATATTTCGTCTAGCAGCTAGTTTTAACAAACCAAACAAGTTGCTATTGAGTTGATACCAATTCATATTGATCTGTATATGTTAGAATGATACTGTGTGTAGGATTTTCAGTGGCTGTGATTTTTTTTAAACGTAGATTACTAGGCCTTTCTTCTGAGGCATCTCTCTCTAGGTGGACTAAAACTCACTCAATTAATTGTAAGCTCATTAACTATTTATACCTCCCAGGGAATATCAGTCTAGTTGCTGGAAGGTTTAGTCTCTATTTTTAGATCAAAAATTAACTCTTTTGACTCTTATTTCATAGTGATACATTCTAAAATAACCAGGTTTTGTGTTGTGTGTGTGTGTGGTTTGGTTTTTTTTTTTAAAAAAAAAAGCATAGATTGGCAAGATAGTTGGGACGTTAAAATGATGTTATTGTTGTTGTTAGGTGCCATTGAGTTGCCTGTGACTCAGAGCCACCCTGTGAATCACAGATCTAAAGCCTATCTTATCCTAAGCCATCCTTACCATCCCCAACACAACTTGAGCCCATTGCCACAATCACTGTAATAGGCATCAATAGAAAATTGTAACCAGAGAAGAATATATACTTCTTTGATAACCTGAACACAATACAGGAAATATCAGATTCAAGCACTTTCTTTGTCACCTGTAGAAAGATTTTAATTCTCCCCACCTCCCTTTTTTATCTCTCTGGATTCCTTTTATATCCATGTAATTTGAAGAAGTGAAATGAAAATGTTACCAGCTTTATATTCTATGAATACTCAATTGCCATTGATGATTTTGGTGAAGAGTTAGACAACTTTGGCCTACTGGTATTGTTACTAGATATTATTGGTTTTAGGTCCTGTTGAGTCAAAGCCAGTGACCCTACCTATATCCAACAAAATAACACAATTAGTCCTGTGTAATCCTCATAGTCACTGTTATCCCTGAGTCCATCATTGTAGCTACTTAGTCAGTCTGTTTTGTTGGTTTGGGGGCTTTTTTGTTTGTGTCAGTCTGTTTTGCTGAGTCTTCATCTTTTCCAGTGACTCTCCACTAAACATGGTATCTTTCTCCAGGGACTCTCCTGATAACATGTCTAAACTATATGAGACAAAATTCTGTCATCACTGCTTATAAGGACCAGTCTCGGAATTTCTAAAAGACTTACTTGTTCTTTTGGTAATCTGTGGTATATTTAGTATTCTTTCCCAACACCTTAACTCAGTGGCATCAATTCTTCTTTAATGTTGTTCCCTATTCACTGTCCAGCTTTCACCTGCACATGAGGTAAATAGAAATACCATGACTTGGGGCAGGCACACCTTCATCTTTAGACATTTAAAGAGATCCTTGGCAACATATTTGCCCATTACATTACATCGTTTGATTTCTTGATTGCTGCTGCCATGAGAATTGGTGATAGGTCTGATGAAGATGAAGCTTGACAATTTCAGGTTTTTTTGTGTGTTTGTTTATCATGATGTTACCTATTGGTTTAGTTATGAGAATTTTTTTTCTTTTGTGTTGGCATTTAATCCATACTGAAGACTGTAGTCTGAGTTTTGTCAGTAAGTGCTTCAAATCATCATTTTCTGAAAGCAAAGTTGTGTCACCTTCATATGTTGAGTTGTTAACAAGTCGTCTTCCAATCCTGATGCCTCAGCCTTCTTCATATAGTCTGCCTTTATGATTATTTACTCGACATTCACCTTCAATAGCTATGGTGAAACAATTTCAACATGCACCTTTTCTGATTTTAAACCTTGGTCTGTTCAAATCACTGCTTCTTGGTCTATGTACAGGTACAGATATGAACATAATTGTTCTATAATTCCCATTCTGATCAGTGTTATCCATAATTTGTTATGATGCACATAGTGAAATGCCTTTACATTGTTAATAAAACACAGGTAAATATTTTTTTGTTATTTTCTTATATCCCTCATTCCATGCCCTTTCCTTCATTCAGCTTGAATTTCTTATATATCCCTGTTGATACCCTTGACCCAGCCATTTTAAAACTATGTTCACCAAAATTATATTTGCATGTGATATTAATGATACTGTTCTACAATTTCTGTATTCTGTTGAATCACCTTTATTTGGAATTAGCACAAGATGACTCTTTCAGTCATTTGACGAGGTAGCTCTCATTTCTTGGCATTAAAAGAGTATGTCCAGAAAAGCTGCATCTGTTTTTTGAACTATTTCTGTTGGTATTCTGTTCTTTCCTGGAGCTTTATTTTTTCCCAGTGCCTTCAGAACAGCTAGGGCTTCCTCCTTTGTACTGGTTTGCTTGATTATGTGTTACCTCCTAAAAAGAAATGTCAGCCAATTTTGTTTTGGTATAGTGACTCAGTCTTTATGCCCTGACATTAAAAATTTAGAAGACTTTCTATCTCCCCTTCCCCGCCTCCCATCTTCTTTTGATGCCCATAAATCTTTCATTGTTGCATGTTGATTCCTAGTATTTTCTTCTGTTCTTTCATCTTGAGAAATGCCAAGGGTATTAATTCTTTACATTTGGCTTTCTGACTCTAAATCCTTCATTGTAATTGTTTTCTCCCATTGCCTTTTGGAATTTTCTGTCCAACTCTTAATGTCCTCCTTTCACTTTACCTTTTCTTGATTCTAGAATATGTTTCAGAATCTCTTCTGACATCCATTTTGGTCTTTTTTTTCTTTTTAAAATGATCTTTCACTTTAGGGAGCTCTGGATGGAAATTCCGGTTTCTTGAGGATATATTCCCAGGAATGGCATTGGTGGGTCAAATGGTATTTCTAGTTCCAACTTTTTTATTAAATGCCAAACTGCCTTCTGTAGTGCTTGCACTTTGCACCATTTTACACTCCCACAGCAGTGAATAAGGGTTCCATTATCTCCACAACCTCACCAGCATTTATTATTTGCTGCACTGTTGAACTTTGCCATTGTTACTGGGGTAAGATGATATTTAATAGTTGGTTTTATTTGCACCTCTCTGATAGCTAAGGATTTTGAGCATTTCTTCATGTATTTCATTGCCATCTGAATGTCTTAGATATGAGTCCCTTATCAGATATGTCATTACCAAATATTTTTCCCAGTCTGTGGGTTTCTTTTTTACCCTCCTGGAGAAGTTTTTTGATGAGCATAAGGATTTGATTCTTACAGAGTTCTATCATGTGCTTTGTTCTCTCCTGGTTGTAGGTCAAGGCCACATTTTCCAACTAGGAATCTTTGTTTTCCCCTTTTGCCTTCCATACACTGGTTACTGTTACTACGTCTTTTAGAATTTTTTTTTTTTTTTAATTTTATTTTGTGTGCGTGTACCGTCAAATCAGATCTGACTGGTACAGGAGGAGATTGTCCCTCCTTCCCCGGCAGAGCATCTGGTGGATTCGAACCGTGTGGCTCTGGGATTGTAGTTGCAGCTCTTTGCCACTAGGCCACCAGAGCTCCACTACGTCTTGATTGTGTGTTTAATCCATTCCAGACTGTATAAATTGGTAGAAATCAGGGTTTTTGCTTTAGTGATTAATCTATAAATTTTAAATACAAATCACATTAACAGGTGTTCCTTGTATGTATATGAATATTATCCTATCGTTGACAGCATTGTACTTCAGAATGGATCTTGTAATGTTTTAAAGGTGTTTTCTTTTTACAGTGTAGTTCACCAATGCAATCCTTAATTTGAACACTAGAGGGCAATCACTGCTTTATTTATCATTTCTTCAAGTGATTTTTTATATGGTTAGTTATAAAATATTTAGTAAATTGGCAACAGGTTCTAAAGAACAGATCTTCATGATAAACTACAAAGAGCAAGTTAATTTCAGATATTTATACTAGAAACTTACTTGGTTTTTCTTACTAGCTAATACTTCAGTTTCAGTGGTTGACTGGATAAAGAGGTTGCTCCAGCCAAAAGTCT